TGACCTATCTTTATCTTAACTGATTGGTACATTAGATCATGTAAAGACAATTGTCAAATCAGATAAGTTGTAAACAACTCAAGTAGGAAAAGATAACTTTAATGCATAATTCTGATCATTTCAGGCCCTAAACAACAGTTGCTCACAGAGAAAATAAATATTTGTAACATAATAAAGTTACAAATTTTGATTATGCATTTTAAAGGCTGTATGGCTCACTTTTTTGGAACCTTAACTTAAAATAGCAGAAAACAGGTCTAAAAACATATATTAATGTAATATGAATGTATATAAAGTGATTTATATTCAATTTGTTAAATTTCTATTGTAATTACTAATCAATTATGTTCGGTGAAATATGTGAACAGTTCAAATTGAAGGCAGTCGTTCAAATTGCCCATTCAACACGTTTTTATTATTATTCTTCAGTTGTTGTGAAATCAGCTATTACTAATTTCTTCCGCATTGTCTAGTTGGATATGCTTTTCTTTGTTCATTACAAATGGCACCCAAAACAAAAGAATTACACAACTCATGTACTGGTCATAAAATGTTCATTGCATGTCTTAAATATTGGATATTTGAATCTCATATCTTCACAACAAGATAACAACATCAACATTGATTGATCATGAAATGGACCAATATTGAATTCTAATTTGGTTTTTTTATTATGAAAAATATGGAGTTACGGTTTAATAGCTCCTTTAAGGACATTACGAATCCATGCTAAAATATACTAAAACTGATTACCATATTCAACATTTAATTATGAAAATAAAACCACAATATTAACAGTAGACAATCGCTTGGCTTGGATCAATTGAATTATAAAGAGGCATGAAGGAAGGCACTGACTTGTTTCAGTCATCTTCAGAGGATGCGATTGATGACAAATGTTCAATTCACTATATTTTTGTAAACACTAAACTGAATTGAACCATTATGGACTTGTATTCTATTTAGAGATTTAACTTTGACAATTTTGTAGTTGTGCAAAGGATTCAAAATCCCTCCAACAACAAGCTTTAAATTGTGGAATGTTAGTTTCATTTTGAAATGATGAAGTGTTAATTTCATGCATACATGTAGGGTATGATTGGATGTATTTTAAATTTACATCTCATGAGACAAGATAATGTTATATATACCATTCACCAAACATAATAAACCTTTACCACAATAACAAGATGGCCACCATAATTACATATAATCATGCACCCAACTAGAGATAACAACAGAGCGCAAATTTCAAACGCATAATTCTCAATAATTAAATATTTCAGATTCGCCGGTTCGCCAGAAAAACGACGGATTGTTAAACAGATATGTATCAGTCAGTTCCTTGTTGATCAAATAAATATTTAAATTATCAATCATGCCATCATTCTTGCTAATTAGATTATCGGAAATTTTAACCATGGACCGAATATATGGTCCATGATCTACCGTCTAGGCGTCTCAAAACCCTGTTTATATTACAGTATACCATGTTTAAAGGGACAATAACACGGGACAATAACACTCTTGCTGGCTTGACAGTTCCAGAAAATAAAAAATAGCCTTATTCTAAGTACTAGATGTGTTAGTGTCCTACCTGTTGTGTAAATTATCCATTAAATCCTATTTTACTTGTCCAGAGGGTTCAAAAATATTTTTAAATCCAAGTCACATTTGAAAAGCTTTACATCAGGCTTTTCAAATCATTTAGTTGAATTTTTCCAATTTTTTAAATTGGGTGTGTTAAGATGAAATTTGTATCATCAATTAATTGGAATATTGTAAAATAGTACAATTTGTTGACCAGTATAAAGATTGGGACATATTATTCAGTTACAACAAGAGTGGTATTGAGCCTTTAAGCATTTCAGGCACGATTTCTGAGAATGCAATAGTTAAATTTCATAAAGTGCAAGCGTTCCGTATTCATGCTTTTATAAACAGTTTTCTGCACATACATCAATATTAAATCATCAATGGTTTTTTTCCACAAATGAAATCAACTTTTCTGTGAAGAAATCCCCAATTGTCCGAGGAACGTTTCCAAGAACAGTCATCAATAGTTCAGAGAACTGACACTTATCCCACACAGGTGAAAACACAGTTTATTGCTTACACCACCACATTAATTAAGGTAATAGTACAAAGTTATTTTAGTGTCCAGGTTTAGAAAACTAAAATGTAATTAAAATTTTAAATCAATATTTCCAATATTTCTTTGACATCTAAAAAAATTGGTCCAGAAATCCACTTCCAAGTCCCTTTTTTGTTATTGTAATCCAGTAGACAGCATTGTGTCAAATTCTTAAAAGATAAAATCCAAGACTGTGACAAATTTACGGCTTACTGAAAGTACTGCCGATAGGTACGTGTACAAGAATCCCTGTACCAGTTGATAAAGGTCAAGCGTCCAAAACATGTCCTGGATTAATAATACTCTACTTCTGCTATTAACAGCCTTGTCAAGTTCGTTGCTTGGGGAATATTAATAACCTTTACTAAATTCATAAGATGTTCAATTAATTGCAAATTGTTCATTTTTGTGCATCTTCATTATGTTTATAGGCAACATGCAAGTGATGAATAAAAAGGAGAAAAAAAACCATAGATGTGATTATCGTCCTTATCTGAATAAAACTACACTGTCACTATCTCCGACATCAACTAATATGAGAGTCAATAGTGAGGCAAACATGTTGCCCACTGCAGTACCTCATGAATTTTGGAATATTTTGACTCATAAAATTGGATATGGAAGCAAAGTTTCATTCAGATTAGGAAAAATGATAAAATGTATGAATTAAAAGGAAGTAACTCTGTGTGAATATTTGATATATTAGTTAAAATAATAGTAGAATCTAAGCCTAAAAGCCTACAGTTTCTTTTAATGTTTACTAATCATTATTGAATAACATCTATTAAAACTAATGGAATTTAATCTGTTATCCATCTCTCATAAAATATTTACTGATATTAATTCAATGGAATCATTGGTTTAAAACAAATAAAAGAAAATATATTGATTTGAAAGGTTTACAGTATCCAGTAATCTGGAAATGCATTAGAAGAAACAGTCCAAAAATTTCTTTTCAATTTAACCGAATATTCAAAAAGTATTAAATGTGATAATAGAGAGGTTTCACAACTTTACATTTACATTTAAATTTAGACGGTAAAGCGTCGTCAGCTTTTGGGACGTTTGACGAGAAGCGCAAGTCATAAAAGTAAAAGTGTGGCAGATGGATAGCAGCCTCCATAACTGTAAATTCACAACACTTATAACTAAACCATGTTTAATATGATCCAGTCCATAATTTTTCTCTGAATCATAGTTTTCTCAAACTAAATCCAAAGAAGACCTTCTTTATAGACAAAATAAGAAAAGGCGGAGACAAAACATGTCCATGCTTTAGTAATCTCATTTTCATTGATCTATCTGAGATGTAGGCCAATCGAGATCGTGAACCTAGTTTGTGTTGCCACCAAGTACATGTAACTGTAAGTATGAATTTAGCGAAACGTCATAATGTACACTTAGACTTACGCTTATAATAAATGCCAAATGTAACTGTTAAGCTGCTAACCTTTTTAATGATATATTTCATAGGATACAAAAAAAAAGAGATCAAATTCTATTAGTCTCAATTACTGATAAAAGTTTCTGAGAACTTCATATCCACACAGTGCCATTTCCTTTTAAAAGTGTGATTGTAAAATTTTTTGCTTTTGAGAGAAATGAAATGAATAATGTATTACCACTTTTTCAGGTTGTCCTCCCTACAGAAATTAAATATAAGACAATAAAAATGAAAATGAAATGAAACTAAATGATACAAAATAGTGAGTTGTGAAACCAAATTTAACTGAAATATAGATATTTAATACCAATTTCAGAGCTACAATGGCTATACATGTATTTTATGCCATATGAAATTCATTTAACTGTCAAAAACTATTGTTCGCTAAACATGTAAATAGGTTTGAACTATTCAGTGACCGACTGTATATTCTGTGATTTCATGTGCTTTGAAATGGTCCAAGGCTGAGTAGTTTCTGGCATGAGCTAAAAAAAAAACCCATGTGAAAAAAACATTTTCGCACATAATTTCAGGGAGAGAGAAATGGAGTTTAATGTCCACTCAACACAACCTAGGTCAATTCAGGACTAACACAAGGTTTCAATTTCATTTCAATAATTCGCTTGCACGTAGGGGTCTTTAGCTGTAGGAGGAAACGGGGGGACCCGGAGAAAATCGACGAGCTTGGACAGATGACCCTACTCCTTGTCACATACAAGCGGGGAATCAAAATCATGCCACTTGACTCAAACACACACCTTGTGATTTCACGCGCACACATTAAACCACAAGACCACCCAACCTCAGGGAGAGAGAGAGAGAGAGAAATGGGGTTTAACGTCCACTCGACACAAACTAGGTCATTTTGGGACTAACATATGGTTTAAATTTTATTTCAATAATTCGCTTGCGCGTAGAGGTCTTTAGCAGTGGGAAGAAACCGGAGGACCCAGAGAAAACCCACGAGGTTGGACAGACGACCCTACTCCTTGTCACCCAACTTTGGGAAACCGAGGTGGTTAAATACTAAAGGGTTAAATATGGTACGAACAAGTAACCAAGGATTTCAGATTATTACTGTCATTAAAATACTGTACAGTGTTTTCATAATAATTAAATGAAATAATAATAAATACTACTAAAGTCGATAAAGATCCGAGACTCTAAATTAATTAATAATAAATACTACAAGTGTCTAATTATGAACCTTAACTAAAGGACTGGGCCCTTATTCACGAAAACTTAAACTAAGTTACAATCAAGAATTTTAAGAAATACTGCAACTTCATTGGATATATGCAAATTGATTTTACTGGTCAGCCAATCGAATTGCAGTATTTCTTAAAATTTCGATTGTATCTTAGTTTAAGTTTTCATGAATAAGGGTCCTGATCAATATTTTTAATATGCTTCACTACTTACATAATAATTATTAACTTTATTATTTCTTTTTCTTGGATTAGGATCTATTTCTGAATACCTGAAACAAAGAAAGGTAGATTGATTAAAACATGGATTTAACAACTCATAAAATACATAAGCTTATAGTTTCTTAGTCGACCCGCACAACTACCAGTACACACTTTTAATGACTGACATTATTCTCTTTAATGATCTTAATGACCTGACATTATTCCCTTTAACACACTTAATGACTGATATTTTTCCTTTTAACACCTGACATTATTCCTTTTAAAACTTTTAATGACCGACATTATTTCCATTAACACACTTAATGACTGACATCATTCTCTTAAATGCTTTTAATGACTGACGTTATTCTCATCAACACCTTTAAATAACAGTCATTAACTCAGTAATCCCATAAACATTCTTAATGACCTACATTTTCCCCTTTAATATTATAACAGCTGAAACGCAGAAGAAAACCATTAATAATTCAAGTGACCTTGAGCTTCAATTTCCATGCAATTGAATAACTGTCATGTTTTTTTTTTCTCTTTCTGTACGAAGACGTAATAACCACCATCCATGTACCATACTTAATTACAATATCTGCAACCTTGAGATCTATTCAATTAGGGCCGCGCGCCATTGGATTTGTTATTGTTAAACGCGTCAAAAAAATAAATTGAGAAAATGAAATGAAGTTTAAAGGAGCTAAATTGCTATAATTTGGCACCTAGAAATGGACAGAGAGAGAGGGAGAAATGGGGTTTAACGTCCACTCGACACAAACTAAGTCATTTCGGCACTAATAAGCTTGTGCGTGGGGGTCTTTAGCAGTGGGAGGAAACCTGAGAACCCGGAGAAAACCCACGAGGTTGAACAGGTGACCCTACTCCTTGTAACATAGAAATAGACACAAATGGGTCGCAACACATATAATAATGTAATATGAATGTACATAAACTGATCTACATTCAATCATTTCCATTTTTACTGTAATTTCTAATCAGCTATGTTTGGCGAAATATGCGAAGAATCCAAACTGGTTATTCCAGTCTACACCGATAGCATTTTCCTGCGGGATATGTTTAGCCTCGTTCATCGAATCGCGTTATTACAAATGGCGCTCAAAAGCATTCTGTCACACGATGCGTGTGCCAATTTTAAAGTTATCATTTTTTTAAAATATTGGATATCAGAATTCACAGTAAGATCACATCAATGTCGAAGACTGTGCATGAGTTAGCGATTTGCCTCCTTTAACATTCTGACAATCAATACAATACCTTTGAGACTAATATAAAGGCAGCGTGGTAATTTTCAGTTCAATGATTTTCTGTGAAATGCTATGCTAAAGATGAGGATTTTGGATACAGTGGCATTATTTGTATAGCTACAGAATTTTCAACAAAACAGTCCATCCAGGACTGAAGTTCAGGGGAGTGAACTCAACTTGCATGAAAATTTATGCCATATCAAAAACTTAACTCTACTTTCTCTGCCATTATCCATAGGACTGATGTAAACTTTATACTTTTGAAAAATTAATTTTTATGATTCATATATACATGTACACTATATATAGTAGAAAAAGTTAATGATAACTATGAAGGCATTGGGCAAATTTTATAACTAGAAAATCTATAATAATGGTAGACTACAGTTCCTACCAAATTTTTGAGACCAGAATCGCGCCGACGCGGCGAAAAAAAACACTCCGAATTCTCTTAGATTTCACGGTGAAATTTCGCTTAATTCCGCGGCGATTTTTCTCTAAGATTCGCCGTGTTTCTCTAGGAATTCACCGTGTTTCTCTAGGAATTCACCGTGTTTTCTCTAGGAATTCACCGTGTTTCTCTAGGAATTCACCGTGTTTCGGTAAAAGTACATCGTGCTTTGCCGTGCTTCCCGCAAGGAATTTGCGAGCCTACCTTAAGCTAGGGTCGAACTAATATTGTCTATAATACATTTGTAAATTGAAGGGGTTGTAATATAGTAATGCTCCCGGGAATATGTTTAAAGTACAGGCCGATTTGAATAACAAATGAGTTAGGTAATCTCGGGGAGACATTTACCGGCATTCTGTATAGGTTAGGATTTTTTTCCCCAACGCACTGTATACATGTACATACATAACGCCGGCGAAAATGTATGCCAAAATAAACAACTTACAATTTTTTAAACGTATCATTACATCTTCGTCTATAACTTAGATGTAACCCACCAATTATTGGCTGCTATCAAATCCAAACTTTAAATTATATATTTGTACGATGAGATTTTACACACTACTTCATAACCCGCAGCTTCAGTTAAACTAAATCAACGCCCCATAAAGCACAGCGCCATAAATCACTTCCGCAATGCGTTAGTCACGTGGTCAGAAACGCGCGAAAACCTGAGCTGTTGGGTTCGACACGGGGACTATATTCTTAGCAAATCTTGACTGTCACCGGTATATGATAACAATGTATTATGACGTATTAAAACAATTCACCATGAAGCACATCAAAGACAATCAGTTAAAACAACGATAACTGAGTAGTGATTAATTCGTATTATCTGTACTCATCCGTGTTAATAGCTGCAATAATTCTTAATCACGGCTACAATTGATACTCTATTCGGGGCTTTGAGCAAGTAAAATTAGGTTTAATTACAAAATGATGACAGTTTGCGTGGAAATAAGTAATTATGTTACAGTTATTCTGTATTTTCTAGCAAAACGGAAGACATCAGTAGTGGACTACTCGAACCAATAATAAAGAGTTGTTTTAATAAATTGATAATTGTGTTTTAATATGTATCTGTTTTCTTTGAATTAATAAAGTGTTATGTATTACCCGTGGTATTTTGTCACAATGAAGCAAAACCAAGATGTTTTCTTAGGGAGCCAGACTTTGTTTGTATATAGAAGAGCTTGAATCTGATGATTACATTGTATTAACCACCTGAATGGGTCAAATTTAAACAATGACATGGCTTCCTGTAGATTTGTCGAAAGCCTTTGTCTCTTAGCTTGTGTGTGTGTGTAGACAAAATATTTTTTAAAAAGAAGAAAAAAAAGGTGTTTGCGATGGATTTGAATACATTGTTTACCAAGTGTCAAGACTTTATGTGAGTAAATACATGTACTAACTGCAATAAAAAATGAATTCACTTTTAGTGCATGTATGATTATTAAATTTTGACTGTAAAATATTATGATTTGTATACATTGTGCATATGTATTACATGTACATGTTTAACCTAATTTCGATTTTCAATAAAAATCATGTCAATGGAACCAAAAGAATATATTGTATGATTATTTAATTTTGACTGTAAAATATTATGATTTGTATACGTTGTACATTTGTATTACATGATTAACTTACTTTCGATTTTCAATAAAAATCATGACAATGGAACCAAAAGAATAAAATGCTACCCAAAACATCTCTTTAATTGTCGGTTATGGATTTATTATGCAATATCGATGCAGGTTCAATCACGAAACTTGCGCTTACACCGTCTAGTATAGCTTTTGAGCTGCTGATATGTATATGCAGTAGAAAATCGGGAAGTTGAACGTACGAAGGAATGGAATCATTCAGAAGTGTACTCAAAATAAGTAAATTATAACGGGGTGATGACGAGAATTAACACACGTGTGGCCATTGTATAAATATATGCCATGTACGCGTCTGTGTGAAATGGCTTTATTTAATATCCGCTTCTACCGAAATGAAATGAGGGGCACCCAGTAGATGTATATTGTCACAGTACCCCTTCCCACCCATATTGTTTTAATGCGTCATAATACATTGTTATTATGTACCGGTGACAGTCAAGATTTGCTAAGAATATAGTCCCCGTGTCGAACCCAACATCTCATGTTTTCGCGCGTTTCAGACCACGTGACTAACGGTTAACCACATTGCGGAAGTGATTTATGGCGTTGTGCTTTATGGATTTAGTTTAACTAAAGCTGCGAGTAATGAAGTAGTGTGTAAAATCTCATCGTATATAATTCAAAGTTTGGATTTGGTAGCAGCCAATAAGATGAAATGATACGTTGTAAGTTATTCATTGTTTACATACGCCGTACACGGTGGCACCACGTTATACATGTACAGTGTGTTAGAAATAAAAAAATACGACCGTAGCTGCCTCGCCAACGGTTAACATATCTTGTATTCAACTTAAATAAATTACATTTTCCGTCAACATGCTTACATCGGGATGATATCGGCACTCAAGCGATTCACCGTGTTCCACCGCGAAACACTATAATTCACCGTGAAACACCCTATTTCGCGGTGATTTGGCAAGCTGCCGTTTCGCTAGCGATTCTCCGAGATTCCACCGTGAAATAGAGTGTTTTTCCACGGTGTTCGGTGTTTCTAGTCTCAAACTCCAGACACGTAGTGTAGGTCACAGACACAGGTTTTAATTCATGTTAGTGGAAATATATTGTGATGGTCTGGATGACAGAGGCTACCTGAATTCAACAATGGAACATTTGGTTATTTAAATATTTCACAACTTGTATTGATTACAGTCATTATATACAATATAGCCAAGTTGTAAAAACTACATTTTACAGTTCTGTTCGCACTGGTTATTAAAGGGCATGTAGCTCTATTCTTTGCAACCTTAAATGGGTCTAAAAGCACATTGTGTATGGTGTATGCCTGTCTTCATTAGCCCAGTCGATGCATAACAGAATGCCCGTCTTCATTAGCCCAGTCGATGCATAACAGAATGCCCGTCTTCATTAGCCCAGTCGATGCATAACAGAATGCCCGTTTTCATTAGCCCAGTCGGTGCATAACAGTAGGATATTAACCCCATTTTATTTCTTTTCAAGCTTATAATAATATTATATTTTAATACAAGGGGTGCAACTTGTAAGAATTACATTTTCCAGTTCAGTTCTTTGTGTTAATTCTGGCGAACACAATTCTGATCAGCTTGTCATGTTACAGGTTTATATACACCGGTTAATATCTATATCATGTTTTAATACGAATTTAATCAATTGAGCTGAGCTTATGTACAGCTTATTGGGTTTAAGCTCCATTCATG